GTGGTGTTATTTACACTGTTTATATGCATGCTAACTTTGTGATAAAAACAAGAGGACTATCGTCCACATGGAAATAATGTACATAACATTTTTTTTGCCAAATTTGGACCTTCATGCATGCAAAAAAATGGAGAGTCAAAAGGACTGATGCACATGGGGTGTAATGGATAACAGCTCAGAGTTGGAAATCAGAGAGCCAAGTTCTTTATATTCACTGCCATGGTGATTGTACAAGAACCAGTGTTTTAACATGTGGCGGCCCTGAGGCACTTTCATAGTGTTTTGACATCAGTTTGGGGTTTAACTATTTACCCATAGCTGGGATCCTAAAAGGTGCTACCACCCTGGGTCAGCATGGACCTGGAAACACCAGCAATCAAATAAGGGCGTATCCAGTAAATTGCTTGAAAAATAATTTCTCGAACTATCATTTATATATATATATATATATATATATATATATATATATATATATATATATATATATATCGAGAGAGAGCTAGTAATTTTACTATAAAAATGTATCTTTATACTATTTTTTTTAGAGTTGGCCATTTTGCCATAAAAATGTATTGTTGGTCATTTTATTAAAAAAAAATGTATTGTTAATTTGTTTTGGGGGGGGGTTCACTATTTGGCTATACTTGGGCCCCTAACAGCTGCTGCCACCCCAGGTTAGGGTGGACCATGGAATAACAGCAGTTAAGAGGTAGTTCCACACTCCTCAAGACCTCCAGTCTCCTGATCAGAGATATTGCTGCTGGATGTAGTTTACCATCATACCCAGGACAACTGAGTAGTACAAAAAATAGGTACCACACAAAGCATCCTGAGATATGGGCAGTGGAATGGGAACAGTTTACCTCCATAAATTAAAGGGTTCAGTTCAGAACCCTGTAAGTTACCTAGATTGATATACACTTGATGAGGGCATGAGGGTCCAATGGACAAATGTTACGATAACAACAAAGACAAGGACAATAGTCTGCTTGTAAATAATAACTCATTCCAGAAATTCAGACAGAAATATGATGGTTTGTAAGGTTTATATTGACTTGTAGTAAAAAAAAAAAAATTAACAAAAGACAATTGCTTAAACCCTCGTTAAAAAATTTGCCGTAAATTCAAATAAATAAATTCTAAACTAATCCAAACACCTCATCCAGTTATTTTGAAACTATCCTTATTTCAATGAGTAAGTTTTAGATTTTGTAAAAAAAAACAACACACCCTTCCCCGCTAATTCTAGCACCCCTCTTATGCCAAGACCCGTGAGTATCCAGTTACTAGCAGCTAAAATTATCTACCTCCATAAGGATGTTGGTTGAGAGCAATTATGATATAATTCCCTGTATTTTATTCCTGATGAAGACAGGAGGGTGCAACAGCCGAAATGTTGTATTAACAAAAACAAAGATGATTGCAAACGCTTTATTTATACACACACAAAGCAAACATAACTATGAAGTCGTAGGTGACTTCACCGAAATCTTAGATAAAAATGCCTGTTCACTCGATACAAGGCTTAAAAGCCAGCCATAGTAAAGAGTCAAGAGTAGGAATTACATAGAAGGGTGAATGACAGATATGGCAGGGCGAGTTGGGCACTCTTGACAGTATGTCGGTTCAACTTGAAAGTCTCGATTCCCCCTCAGATGGTCCTACACCAGGAGAGCAGATTTCTCGCAACGGTTTCCCAGGTACCATGGTAAATGTTGGCCTGTGTTAGCGATGTCTTCAACCGATCCTTGATTGAAGAGTATTCGATGAGGCCATTCACTTGAATTTGATTTCTGTGCAATGGAGAAGCCCACACACTCGTTTCTCAAAGGGGACCGAGACGGGCAAGATCTGGCAAACATAGTTGCATTGGACTGTCTCTGAAATGTCTACTATTTATTTTCTCCAGAGTAGAGAAGTCCACATGCTGTCCAGTTCACACTCCTCCTCAGCCTTTTGGACAGGAGTAGAGGTCTATTACTTGTTTCGTGTTCATTCTAAAGTCCACTTCAACACTACACTTTGAACATTTCCGCCTAAACTCAAATCTTTTTTTTTTTCACAACAGGAAAGGTTCACCATCTATTGTCCAGTTCACACACCTCCCCAGTCTTTTGAACAAGAATAGAGGTTTATCTCTAGTTTCCTGTTTAGGATTGGGTTTTCTGGTTCCTTCTAAAGTCTGCTTCAACTCTATACACTAATACAACTCCACACATTAACCCTCTACCTTGAGTGGCTCTTGGGCCTTGTATTGCGTGAACATTAGCAAAAATAAAAAATCAGTTTCACAAACTGACCATAATTCTATACTTCTAACATTTTTAAAGTATTGTCCTTCTCTTTCAGTCACCCCCTTGCATCTTAGTGCCATTATCATTTTGCTTGGGATGAATTGATTAAAAAAAAAAAAAAAAAAAAAAAGCAAGCAAGCAAGTGTTGCTTCTGCTTCTTGCCAAATTCAACCCAATACACATGTACTTTTCCATAGTACAAAGAACCAGAAAACTAAATACCATCTACTTTATTTGTCATGTATGTTTTATCAGTTCCATTTGAATTGAGATAATTATATTCTAGCATAACAATAGCAGAAATGTTTCTCTTTTCATATTCATAAAAGGAGGAAAGCTGAAAGTGTCATGATCCAAACATTAATAATTAGTAAATGTTTGTTTTTAATTCCTATCCTTTCTATAGAATATTAATGAAAATGTGATGCAATTGCCAAATGTTAGCAGGAAAGATTTCAGTTTCATCAAATTGTACTAAATGCAAAGATTGGGCAATTAACAAAAAGCAACCAGAATGTATTAGATTATGAGATTAGTATAAATTTAGACACAGAACTCCATAGATGAATGATTAACAATAAAAAAAAAAAAAGTCAGCTTATAAATGTGGTTACAGACTTTTTGTTTTACACATTTATAAGTCAATGCCTTAGAACGACTTTGAGGCATTATCGGGCCTGCAATGAGAATGGTAAGAATGTGTTGTTTTGGTGCAAAGAAGAATCTGGTATGTTTGAGTCTGTAATTGTGGTTAACTCAGTTTAAAATAAGATTGATTGAAGACCAACCTTTTCCTATCCACCACTCCCACTCTTGGCCCTGTGCCACATTTTTGTTTTGTTTGTTTTACACCATATCACTCTCAATGGGTTATTTAATGCCAACAAGATTTTTATTGCTGGTAATATTTTTTTCAAAAAATGTATTGCTGGTATTTTTTCCCCCAAAAATCTATTACTGGAAATAATTTTTTCCAGAAATGTATTATTGGTTATTAAAACATATTTTTACACTTTCATGATGTTTTGACCCTAGTTTAGGGGTTAACTATTTGCCCATAGTTGGGACCCTAACAAGTGCTACCACCACAGGTCAGGGTGGACCGAGGAACACCAGTAATTAAGAGGTGGTTCCACACTCCTCAAAACTTCCTGATCAGAGGCCTTGCTGTTGGACATAGTTTACCGTCTTAACCAGGACATCCACATTCTTGTATTCTCAAAATATTACTTTCTTCTATGGTACCTCAGGTTTTCTGTAGTGAACATTATAAAAAAAAGATGAATCAGCTTATAACTGTATTGGGTTACAGACTTTTTGTTTTACATATTTATAAGTCTATCATTTATCCCTGTATTGAATATTACTGCCACATCTGGTCTGGTGTTTCTGATATGTATTTTAGAGTTTCTTCATGAAATACAAAGAATATGCAATGTTATTAGCCCTGACCTGGTATCTCGGCCTATCACTTTCCCTACCACTTGTAGCTTCACTTTTCTAAAAATATTTCCATGGTGATTCTTCTGATGAACATTCTTCTATGGTACATAGACTTTATGAATTTAAGCACAGTACTAGAATGGCAGCAAGGTCTCATCCTTTAACAGCTGAAATGGCGAGATCTAACCACAAGCTCAATGCTTACTGTTTATTCTCTCAAACATCTTGCTTGGGGAGCTCTCTTCCAGCTTCTTGCTTTCCGAAAATTTAAATGAAATAACAAATCGTTATCTTGTGTCTTCTTAATTCCTATTCTTTTATAGTTTTCTCGCCTTAATAAGGTTCTATTTTTCTTATATTCTCTCAGATTCAGTAGCCCCTTGCATCTTTGTGAATTTATTTCCTTGCTTTGGTTGAAATGATGGGGGGGGAGCACACACACCCATAATTATTATTTTATTTTTGGAGGTTTATTTTTTTTTCTTTCTGGGTTTTTATTTAAAAATTTGATCCTTAAATCGTGGACAGAATTACCAAGAAGTCATTAGAAAGTGCTGTCAAAGTAGCCAAAAAATGGGACACGTCCTGTCTTCATTCTCTTGTTTCTCCCCACCAACACCATGTGGTAGAAGTAACGATGCCAACTGGGACCTCCCCTGGGCACGAGGATAGCTTTTCCCCTTAGTGACTGAACTTTCAATATCTTTTTTTTTTTTTTTTTTGCATGTGTACTCATCCTTTCAAGACCTAAGTGATCATGGCTCTCTACAATTTCCAGTCCTTCATAGCACTTAACAAATTTTGTCTTTTTGTTATCTCTTAAACATTGTTCCACCATCCATTTACTGAAGCTCACTAGGTAGGTTATGTATTCCCTGCCCTCTTGCCTTCAATCTGCCAGAGTATCAAATTTTCCAAGCTGCCACCCTCATTATGTGCCATAGAAAATTAAACTGTCTTCCTGATGTTAACTATGAGTGTCCTTTTTGTTTTCAAGTTTCTCTAAAATGTCATTATCATTCACATGCTTAGCCCATGGTATTCTCAGCATCCTTCTGTTGGATTCCATTTCTGTTGATTAAAGTCTCTTCATCTATAAGGAGACTGTCCTGCATTCACTAGCATATAGGACTGATATTCTGTAACAGTTCAGTAATCTTTTCTGTGTTTTTAACAAAGTTTTTGCTTAGCTTTTCAGACATTTTTTTTCACTATCCCAATTGGCCTTTGGATTTCAGTGTTTTGCCATTTGCACCGCCAAACTTACAGTATCTGGTATTCCCAAGCAGTCACCTATCTTGGTACTGACCAGGCTCAACATTGCTTAACTTTGGTGGTCGTGCAGGAACCGGTGTTTCAACATGATGTGGCTGTAAAGCCAGTTTTCTGAGGTTTGGCCATTAAAATACCACCTTTGGGAATTGGATCAGGCTGAGAACTTTCCAGCACTCCATTGTATAAGTAAACTTTTGTACTCTATGCAAGTGCCACCTGGAATAGTCATGTTGGTGGGAAATTTTCAGCTTCTTAGCATGGCTTGTTCTATTTAGCATTCTGCCAAGAATTTTCATCTAAATAAAAGTGAAACACTTTGGCCAACACTAGGTTTTATTAATTAATTTGTTTTTGATGGCTTATCAACCTTTCACAGGTTATTTAATGTCAGAAAATAATTTTAAACGGTAAGATTTTTTTTTTTTTAAAAAGATGATTTTTACTGATACGTTGTATTAATAAACCCATAGCTAGGTGGGAGGTGAGGTGGATCCATAACTTTCTCAAGGGTATTTTGCATACAAGTGAATATAAGGAACCCAACTGGAAATGGAACTAAGCTCTCCAATTTCCAAATCTGAGCCGTTATCCATTACATCACCAGCACATCCAAGCTTACAGCACCTTGAATTCCCAAATGGTCACCCATTTAAGTATTGACAAGGCTCAATGTTGCTTAACTTCAATAATTGTATCCAACACTGGGAATAGGCTTCTTTTTTTTTGTCCCTATTTGACCCACAAGATTGAGTTCATGCTTCAAATCTGGCCCACAAAGCGAAATCAGTTTCAAACCCTTTCTAATTGAGCTTTGAAAACTTCTGCGGAAAACCAACTTTATAGAAGACATTAACAAAAACAGAGTGGTGCTAAAAAACAAACAAAAAGGTTTAGAATGGTATTTATTTTCAATTTTCCTAGTTGAATTGTCTTCCTCTATTGCATATGATGCATTACTGTACATATTTAGGTTACAATAAAATTTGTCTTTTATATGAATACCACCTTATGAAAATCGAGATGTAGCAGAAAGAGGAAGACATATGATAGATGGAGGATGTAACACAGATTAAAGGTAGGGAGAGACCCTTGCACTGACCCTAGTCAGCAAATTCACTAACCAACACTTCATTCCATAAAAATTCACTGAAGGTTAATAGGTTAATGACAGTCACCTGAAGAAGACTGAAGAGCACAATAGACAAAACATTGTGATAACTAAAACAAAGATATTAGTCAAAAAATAAATAATTTCTCGTCCCAGGTTATTTAAAGCAAGAAAATATTGTAAGATATTTTTTTAAGATAATGATTTTTACCAGTACAAGTTTAACTAATTAACCAATAACTTTTTTTTTGGGGGGGGGGGGGGGGGTAAAAATATAGAATCTGGTGCTAAATAAATAAGAAAAGTTGCCAGAATTTTACAGTATGATTTTCTTAAGTGCATACTATTTAAGCAAAGCTGGAATTGGAATGCAAATGAAAATACACACTGATGATAATTTTTTTTGAAAGAGAAAAAAAAAAAAAAAAACTTCTTTTTTGACATCAACTGGCAAATGTGTTTGTAAATATTTGTAATCTTGATAACAAAAAGAACACTCTTGTCATTTTCTATGAAATAGATATTGCAGCCAATCCCACTTGTGTCGTCAAGAGCATTTCAAATGCTCTTTTGACCAAGTTCAAAACCAAACAAGACAAAGAATGATTGTTGTTTAAAAGTCAACGACTTTTTTTAATGTTGTACTAAGCAGTGAATAATTCTAACAAAAAAAAAAATAAAATAAATAAAATAAGGAATTTGATTTTTTCTTGTCCGAAGATGAAATGGAAGGTGTATACAGAACTACAGACTGTTGGTTCCAGTGCTACTTGGAATCACTGCAAAACCCTTGCCCTTTCCTAATTTATGGGTAGAAGCACAAATGCATGCCAAGGTCTTATTTCCTCGCCAACAAAATGGGCCAATTCTCAGTTTTATCTGACCCAATCTTGGCCTGGCAAGTCAGAACGCATGCATTTGTGTACTTCTGCCTATAAACTGGAGAAGAGAAAGTGTTTTGTAGTCATTCCAATTACCATTGGAATCGACACTCCCACCTCAATCCCATGGATGAGTGCACACAACACCATCCAGAAGAACAAAAGAAAATAACCATCTAATAGACACATGAAGATGGTCTGTGTGTACTTGGCCAAAATGTAGTATCCATAACAATGAAGATGAGTAAATAGACAGCAGAAGACTGTCAGTGGGTACTTGGCCAAAACATTGTGCTTAAAAAACATCTATAATATTCAAGATGAGAACATCAGTGATGAGGTATTGTAACTATTAACATTGTTTGGACTGTTGTCCTCATCTTTATTGCCATATTCATGACATTTTGGCCATTGTTCTCTGGCCTTCTTAACGTGAAATACATTGGAATTTCACTTTTTGGATTACTCAGCCAACGCTTTTATCCACTGAACCATGGATAAAAGTGTTAGCCGAGTAATCTAAAAAAGTGACTTGATCCAATGAGTTGTGAGTTCAATACCTGGCCACAGCAGAGGGAACAAAAACTTAGTGAATCAAGTTACTAAAACAAACTACCTGAAACAGTGATATTAAAAAAGGTATGGCATGCAGAATTAGAACAATCTACACCCATGGATTAAATAATGTGATCGGTTCGAAATTACAACATATATCACCTGAAGACAGTCAAAGTATACGACGACCAAAATGTTGTAAATATGGCAATAAAGATGAGGACAACAGTCCAAACAATGTAAATAGTGAAAATACTGTCAATTTTTTATCTCAAGAATGAAATACAAAAATATAAACTGCAAATTCACTGTTTGATCTTTGCAGGTGATAGTATAACTTACAGATGACAAGATTTGAAATAAATAAAAAAAAAAAAAAAAAGATAACTGGTTGGTTGTTTTTGTTTAGCAGCATATCAACACCTATATGGATTATTTAAAGGTGAAGATCTAAATATTTTGTACATAATTTAAATTTTGGGGGAGATAATGTTCTTTTTGTGACGTTTTACTAATTAACCCATAGCATGGGGAGAAGAGATAGATTCATACCTTTCCCCAAAGGTATTTGCACATAAGTGAATATAACAAACCCATCTGGAATTAGATCTCCAATTTCCAAATGCAAGCCATTATCCACAACACCACCTACACATCCAATCTTACAGCCCCTGATATTCCAAAGTGGTCACTAATCTCGATACTGACTAGGCTCAATATTGCTTAACTTTGGTGATCATACTTGAACCCGTGTTTCAACAGGATATAGCCATAAGCCTAATAGTGCAGGAAGTCACACAAATGGTGAGACTGAGTGCCGATATCTATAGGGCAGGTTTGGGTGCGTCGAATGCCCATTGGGGGTAGGAATATCTTTTAAAAGGGTTAATAACACTCAAAATAAAAAAAAAAGATTATTAAAATTTAAAATGGAGCCAAAGAAAATTACCTTATTTAATAAACATTAAACTTAGAGATTTTTTTTTTGGGGGGTCCTCTACTAAATTTCTGCAGGAGAAATTATAAAAATAGCAATAAAGACCAAATAAGACATCACAACTGTTAGAAAGGATAGATGAATCTTTATATGACACAAATTAGGCTTGTGTACTCAGTGGCTGCACTGAACATAAAACAAGGTATATTTAGAACATTTATCGAAAAAAGGAAATGCAAAATGATAGATAAGGCTGTAAGGATGTTCACAGGCAGGTTGGTTATGTTGTTCTTTATATGAAATAATATAAGATCACTGTATCCAGATGGTTTGGCTCACAAAATACCTGGCCAAAGAAACATTCCTTAGGAAATAGGCTATACTGCAATTAACAAACAGTTACTTTCAGGTTTAAATAATCTGATAATAAAGAGAATTAAAACTAATATAAGGTAAAATGGTTATAATTAATTAAAATGATGTCAATAAATGCATTTAAAATCAGAGATGGAACTATAAAAAATAATAACCAGTGATACTTTTTGGTTATTGATCTAAAACTGTGTCCTTTTTAACCAAAATGAATAAAATATTTCTGGTAACTTGATGATCACACCCTACAATCACAATTCATATATCCACAGATAAAGTCAGATGGCACGTCAACTCTTATGCAGAGGCAGATCTATGCCACACACACTCTTACACTGAGTTTAACGGGATACCAACTCTTATATAAGTGAAGTTTAACTTCCTTATAATCATGCTAATATTCCATATAAAGATGTTAATCAGAGTTTTGCTTGTTTTTTGGGTTTTTTTTTTAAACGAGGAAGTGTCAATTCAACTTGCAAAAATTATGACCTGGCAAATTTGCAAACTCTCTATTGAAAATTGTGTCTTGGATCTTTCTTCTTGGTTCAATGTTTTCATGCCTTTTCACAAATACCAAGTGAAACCACAATTTTCTTCCTGGTTCACCTCTGCCTGTTCAACTACTATAGCCCAAATAATCACTTGTTCTGGCTGTACTGACATGATAGTTCTGATCACGACAGATGACTCTTTATATCTGATCATCATAATTGTAAATGTGTCCTCAATAAGGATAAGTCTTTGTTCGGTAACAGAATGAGGCACCTTATAGCCTCTAATAAGTTTGGTTCATTGGTGGCTCTGTATTAACAGTGATGCTGATAGTTTTTCAATGTAGGACTCCCTGGGACCCACAGGTGGTGATTTGGATCCCAAGAAACATTTGTAATCATGCTGAATCACTTAAATTGACAGTACAACTTCATTTTCTTTTTAAAATTTATAAATTCAATACAAAAACAGTATTTACACTTAAACAGATTTCAATTAAGAAATTTAATTTTTAGAGAATTCTGACGGAAAAAAAGTTGTTTTTTTTTTAATTCACAGAACAAAAGTATTTTTTAAATACAAAAATTCAATACAAAAACCAAATAATTAAGAAATTATAGTTTAGGAATTATGGCATTTTTTTTAAATTAATAAATTCAATTAAAAAAATAAATCACATTTTAAATAAGAAGCTATGTATTTTTAGAATTATAACAGAACAAAAGTTTTTCTTCAATTGATTCAATATTA